TAACAAATAGTGTGTAAAAAACATCGTGATGACGTTGTTACCGGTGTGTAACAAACATCGTGATGACGTTGTTACCGGTGTGTAATCAAACATCATGATGACGTTGTACTACTAAACAGTTTTTTTTTTTTACATTGTTGACAAAGTGTAAAAAAACAAGATGGCGGCGATAGGATCACACAAACATATTTATAATGTTATGACCGTTGATGAATCAAAGAAAACAAAGAATAACAGAAGAAAGATCGACGGAATAACTGTTACCATTAAACCTCGTTTATCACGATTACAACCTAGAATGGAACGTTCGTTACACCAGCTTCCTTCGCATTTTATTTGCAAACAATGTTGATATTTGACACGTACGTCTCCGATCATATATCCTTACATCAAGAAATGACTAGTTTGCAATTTAAGTGTTATAATCGCCCAGTCCAAGAAATGATAATATATTATATCATATTAACCATGCAATATGATTAAATGTACAGTGGTGACTGCCTCAATGCGTACTGTTCACGTGCAAGCTTTCCATGTGAGGTTTCATTGACGCAAGTTCATATCACCGACGTCATTATTTTGCATGACAATGACCCAATTTTCCTGATGTGATAGCGTGACATGGTTATGATAAGGATGTGTTTAAATTTGTTTGTGAAAGAGCATTGCGCGAGCAGATTCTTTGGAAAATTATGCATGCCTACGTCGTATCATCAACAATGAGATAGAATTATAATTAAATCACTATCGTTATTGGCCTACCTTCCATTCTTCATCACACAGCGGACATGGCCAGTCTGAACTAAGAGATGCTTCCACTTCCTTTGGAACATGTTTCTCTTCGTTTGAATCATTCAGTGTCGACCTAACTATGTCTGAACTCCGCGACTTTTTCAAAGAAATAATGCTAGGCTGTAGCAAAGCAAGGTTCTGAGCTGCCTTATACTTCATGTTCATTATAATTGTTAGTCAAGTTTTGTCGGTCGTCATTTACAGTTACATTGTAATTCCGTGTAACATCACTTAATAGTTACACTGTTATTCCGTGTATCGTCTCTGATTAATAGTTACACTGTTATTCCGTGTATCGTCTCTTAATATCTACATTGTAATTCCGTGTAACATCACTTAATAGTTACACTGTTATTCCGTGCATCGTCTCTGATTAATAGTTACACTGTTATTCCGTGTATCGTCTCTTAATATCTACATTGTAATTCCGTGTAACATCACTTAATAGTTACACTGTTATTCCGTGTATCGTCTCTGATTAATAGTTACACTGTTATTCCGTGTATCGTCTCTTAATATCTACATTGTAATTCCGTGTAACATCACTTAATAGTTACACTGTTATTCCGTGTATCGTCTCTGATTAATAGTTACACTGTTATTCCGTGTATCGTCTCTTAATATCTACATTGTAATTCCGTGTAACATCACTTAATAGTTACACTGTTATTCCGAGTATCGTCTCTTAATATCTACATTGTATTTCCGTGTATCGTCTCTTAATAGTAAGACTGTAATTCCGTGTATCGTCTCTGATTAAAAGTTACATTGTAATTCCGTGTATCATTCCGATGTAGAAATTTCATAACACAATACACCATTGCACCTGGTGCATGTCCAATACATCGATTGACTAAGGGATCACCAACTGCATGCTGTCCTTTGAACAGCACAATGTCAAAGGAATTGCGATCAGCTCGAGTAATTGTCTTGAAAAAAATACTTGTTCATATTAGACACAAAAAGAAAGTGTCCTGCTAAACCTCTGACTAAGCTCTTGATATCAGGAATTCTCCAGACAATCTTTCCACAAATCGCAAAGTAGAAAACACATCTTTTGACTTATTGATCGAGGAGACTTTTCGAAGCACACATATAAAATCCAATCAGACGACCACTCCAGTGTTGATTTAAAGATAAATAAAATTCACGAATATTTTTATAGAATCTTAGCAGCAGATGTACATATGTGACACAATAATATAATCATCAGCTACAATACCTAACACAGACAGACCGAAATGTTTGTTTCTCCAAACACATAAGGAGACAAGCGATCAGATCACTGTCACATAATCACAACCCGATGTCGAGTTTTACTGAGTGGACCTGATCACTTTCCTGTGTTTAGTCTCCCCCGAACAAATAGCGTGTAGAAGGTGTATCGATTGACCAGGCAAGTTAACTACAACACAAGTATTGAGAGATATTACGTACGGATCTCTGTCAGTAGACCACGACATTAACTTAGTGTCTCTGTCAAACAGGGACAGTCGGTGGCAAAGATCGACTTTTAAAGAACTGGATAACTCGACAAAATGTCTCTTTGCATAAGTTGAATAGAGACAAGGTGTTTCTTTGTTACTAAAGTAGTGATATATTGTTACGTTGTTAACTCATTATACGACAGAGCAGTGCTAACTACATACCATCACTTAGCGTCATAACTAGGCCAGTTTTTAAAAATCCAATTAACTTAAGTGTACTTTTTTAATTGTTGTGTTCAATATCAATAAATTTAAAGTGAATCAAATCGAAATATTTTCATGTGAGACTCCATTACACATTTAAATTTACATGTAAAGCTGTGAAATTTATGTAAATATTAAATCGACAGTTATCGACTTATCTTCAGTCAAGCACAATAAACTACGTTTTTTTGTGATCGAGTCTCTTCAACTTAAACACTTAAAAATAATGCTTGGTAGAGTGTATCAACATATACTCCATTTAACTTTTACCTCGATATTTAAATGATATATTAATTTAACCTCCTGTTAAGATGCCTAGTACTGCACACGTTTAAACCACTCTATTTAAAAGGTATATTTAGTATGCTAAAGGGGTATATTTCAGAGTCTTCCTGCTGTAGTAAAGATTACCTCAATCTTAGCGTAAATAATTTTACATCATATGATAATTTCTCTATAAGTTATGTTAACTGGTACAAACCATAGATGTTAACAAAACAACTTCATATCATTAATTCATTTGGCTACGATTGATAAAAAGTGCCAGTGAGAATGCGGACCTGAATCTTTGTAACCTGGGATATGAAATAACAGTTATATGCTGCAGTTTAATTCATCGTTTGACTCTACTGTATCTAAATTTGTACTGAATGGTATGGTAATGTTTACTGGTGTCTTTTGTGGGTAGATCGTCGGCTGTAAATCTGTATATTAGGACGTGGTAGGATCTTTTCAGAGTACATGTATGAAAAGTCTAAGGCGTTGTAGAATGTCACAGCAGACAGAATTACTGAGATAATATCGCTATACGATACTGTTTTGGTGTGGCGCTGTATATTACATACACCAGGTCCGGATTTAAATTTTAGTATTGGGTAACGGGACCATGTTTGAAAGCGCAAAAACTTTGTCTTTGATAACTGGAACAATGGTTGTTTTAATCCAGACACATCAACAGGCCAATGTCGGTTACAAAAGATAGGTCACTGGTTATGTTAGCGCTTCATAATCAGGCATTATGTGTTGTTACGGTATATCGTGATATCATTGGTTAAATCAATTACTGATATTGATGATATTAATTATTTCACAAAACTAATGTTCATCCTGTCCAGCCATGTATTATTGTCAACAGGTTGTTTATATGTCTTCTCTACACTGTAATATTTAAGAATACAACTATCATTGTACTTTTTTTTATCTACCTTTATGTTTGCTTTCGTTTCAAAGAAAGTTGTCCATCGGTATAGGTATTGGTTGTATATTTCATGAAAAACTGAGGATTGACCTTCGGTATTTTCATCCTTCTCGGACACGTCAGGGAATAGAAAGGACGTAAGTGTTGAAAACAAGGAATCAAGAGAAAAAACTCAATATTGGTCGAACACATAACGATGAATGTACGTACCAAAATCTAGACGGAAGATTCATTAACCCAATATTTCGATATACGTCTTAATTTTCAATATTACAAATCAAAATAACATCAAGCACGTATGCATCGAGCCACAAATTAAATGAACTGGCACATGACATGAAAGACCGATCCCAACAGGTTCCGAAGACTGCAAAGTTCTTTAGTGTGAGATATATTGACGGTGTCGTTTCTTGAAGTTTATTGGCCATATAGTATGACAACCATCATTAGTTAACAAGGACACGCAATAATCTTCTTCCTCTGCTGATAACAACGATTTATACTTACAATACAACAAACGGACGACTGTCCACTATCCTATATGATAAGTATGGTTTCGATTTCTAGATAGTAAAACCCTTGCTCTATCAATTTATGGTGTTTACGTCCGGCAATTTTTGTCAATATCACAACATCCGTGAAAAATATCGACAACTGGCATTATGCGCGCAGTACAGGATTTTGAGCGACGCAGGTTGATGAAAACTATGGAGAGACTTTAGGGAAAACGCGTGCCACCGTTTGAGCTTTAAGCATTTTATAATGGTGGCGTTTTCTCGTGGCAGTATTATTTCTACAGCTTCGGAAAACATACACACTTCGTCATAAAGCGGTCACTTCGTCATAAAGCGGTCACTTCGACATAAAGCGCTGACCCGTATGTGACCTTTGAATGATAACCATTTAAACTTACATATAAACATGCATTTATATATACATTAATATTAGCCATTCTGGTGAAAATGTTTGTCATCTGTCATTTTAAAGACATAAATCTTACTGACTTACTTTGTATATCAGGTTCCACCAATAGTTATAAACAGAATGAAATTTTAGAAATGTACAAAATAAAATAAAATCGAAAGATTTTTTCTCGTTAAATTACAAATAGTCTTTCATTTCTTTAACAACTGTAACTTTGTTGATTGATAAATACAGGGTACACTTTGTAGAGAATATTTCTGATATATTTTAATGACATCATGTTTTTGTGAACGTTCAGTGAATATTAACTACCTGTGCTTCCGTGCCCAGTCCCTTTGTTTTAATGTCAAGAGAAAACAAAAATACCAGGGCGTCCAACGTAATTGGTATGCAACATGCGTCATTTGGTTTGCGAGTATAAATGTGCAGCATTTGTTCCCCTCAGTGGGAATTTGTAAGCATGAATATTCCATATCATCTATCATTTACAGAAACCCGTTATGGATTTCAATTGTCTTTTTTCAAACGACAATATCAATAATAGATGTTTTACTGCAATACTTAAAGTATCTCTATAGAATAAAGCATGTATTTAAAGGTTCCCATACACTGAGCACGCACTCGTTATCTCGACATACATATATCTTCGGTCATTAACCATTTAACAATTCTAAAAAATATATGAATATATAAAAACTTTAAAATAAATATTGTCTTGAGTATGGCTGAGAAAACGTTTCGACATAAAGGATATGTTGAAAACGTTCAACTTTTAGTCTTTCCCTAAATTTCACCACATTCCTCTGTGATTTCTGGACATCGTCTCTAAAGAGGAGAAATATTCTACCTGACACTGGACAAACGATGCCAAACAAACATCAAACGAAATGTCTAATTCCGTTCTCACTTAGGGAACATTGACATTATGTATTTAACACTACGTCTAAGAATTTGACGGAGACGTCATCTTCATGGAGTTTTATTGAGATAAAAAATGGATCGTGTTTATAATACTTCTGTACTTTATGGTAATGATTTTCATGTTTAAATATAGTTCTGATCGTACAATAAATGTACTATGTTCCGTTTTTCTCTCATCTTTACTTTTATCGTTTTGTTTTCTGTTTACTAATTAAATGTCGCTCTGCTTTTCAACGTCATAACAAGTTGCTATAAACTGTTTAATGCATGTCATTTACAAGTTTACATAGATGTGTAGCCTGACTACAAACATTATTCCGGAAGCTTGCATTGACAACTAAATCAAAACCAAATTAAAGCTTGTTCCTGTCTGAATCTCTGACTTGTCATGAACAGGTGAAACCACAGCTGTCGACATTATTTACGTTCGTGCATAACGCTCATTTTGACGTGATTTCAATTAAACATTTTCTTTTATTCAATTTCCCAAACCTGCGTGTAATTGATAGAGACTTCATGAGATGTTCTTGATAAAACAACCTCTATAAATGCTAACGACATACGCTTACATGTATACACGCAACCTTTTTAAAGTTGTGAATGTCAACCTATAAAACAAAGCTTCTTATAAAAAACGAATAAACTACAATTAAACGGTTCAGCTAGTATTTGGGTTAGAAGGTTGGTTTCGCTAAAAGTCACACTGTACCTGGATTTTTGTTCACAATTTAAAAATCGAAATACGAAATCAGCATTATTGAATTTCATCGTATCGGTCATTAATAATTATTTGATGTCATAGTTAAAAGTACAAATATGTGTATTGTTCATTAAATCTTCTTATATCACACGGTCTGAAAAATCAGTGAATATTTTGATGAAGTGGTCTGAAAAATCAGTGAATATTTTGATAAAGAAGTCTGAAATTTAATTCAATAATAGGATGGATCGTCCGCAGGAATTAAGTGAATACTATACACATACATTCTAATATTTTGTTGAAGTAACCGATGAATATTGTGGAATGGTCTGAAAATTACAAGGAATATTTTATTGGTCTTACCTTAATGTACTCTCTGTTTTTAAACATAGGATGTCCATCTAGTATAATCATTGGTGCAAATGTGACGACTGTCGCCATCATTCCCGAGTGTCTTACGTTGTGTTTAAGGATTTCTCAGATGATCACCACAGTTTTACATGAATTACCTATTTAGCTGCAGGTATGCAGGTGCAGCAAGCTTATCGCCACACGTGTAAGTTTTCACTGTAGGAATATATCTACGCTTCCTTGCATGCTATTACGAGTTTAAAGAGTGGTCCATTCTCTGGTTTACGCCTATGTTTTCCCGTCATTTAAATCACAGTGATGATAACATTGAATACAGAGCTATACAAAATAAAATCCGGACTTTGTAACACATCCCACAGAACTCACCGGATATTATCATCGCCCGTACTTTATTATTCACAGTTATGAACACACTTGACGTTTATAGGAAGACTTTCAACAGAAATCACAACTCGCCACGAAACATTGGAATGTCATTGTAACTCTATTTCATCTGTATAGCTGTATTGGTGCGTGTCAATTTACAATCAACTTGGGTCTAGATAAAAGTTCATCATAAAGTATATTTTGATGCTGACTTGTACAATGTAATGAAATATCCTCCATTTTTCTTGATTGTAATAAAAAAAAATGAAGAATTGACACAACGTAATGTGTAATATCCTATTTAGGTCAGGTATCGCTAGTTTATCATTAAAAATGTGTTAATATTTATTGATATTTCGGGATATTTCATAGGCATTGTTTAAGTTAAAATATGTACAATGTCGCTTATCAAATTCTGGTTCAATGTAGATTGAAAATCTTTCTTACATGATCCATGATTTAAATAAGGAACGACTCTAGCACTGATTGACTTAGTTATTGTTGTGTCAATAAGGTAAATATTACCGACTGAAGAATTGATTGTGACATAATAAGCTATGTACATTCTAATATTCAGTTTATTTCCTAATTATAATTTTAGAATCTTTCTGTAAAGCGACATTAGCGTTCCTCAAACATAGATGTGTAACTTGATAAATAAACACTTTGTTCTGTTACCTATGTACTGTGTGAACTGTGGCCAAGGCGTGTAAAATATTACTTACTGATAAATGGGGGTTTAGCGAGACATTTTCATCAACAAATAGAAGCATTTATATATAACCTATCATTAATTGGCCTGTTCAAATTTGCTGTGTGTCGGATAAAATATTGTAATAGGTAAAGAAAGGTATGGAAAGGTATAGTATTGCATAGAGAAGTGACCAGTGTGTTAGAGGTTTGGTTAAGACAGGTAAGTGACCAGTGTGTTAGAGGTAGGGGGTTGGTAAAGTATTGATTAAGTGAGGGAAGTGACCAGTGTGTTAGAGGTAGGGGGTGGTAAAGTATTGGGTAAGTGAGGAAAGTGACCAGTGTGTTAGAGGTAGGGGGTTGGTAAAGTATTGGGTAAGTGAGGAAAGTGACCAGTGTGTTAGAGGTAGGGGGGAGGGGGGGGGAGGGGTGGTGGTAAAGTATTGGGTAAGCGAGGGAAGTGACCAGTGTGTTTGAGGTAGGGGGTTGGTAAAGTATTGGGTAAGTGAGGGAAGTGACCAGTGTGTTTGAGGTAGGGGGTTGGTAAAGTATTGATTAAAGCCCCAATATACGTAACATTCACCAAAAATTTAGTGTAGAATCACACATAATTATTGAGATATTCTCTAAGATGTAGTTAAAATTAAGTTATTCAAACAATAGTTACCATGACTTTGTGCATAAGGTATTGATATATGAGCAGTTGAAACTCGCTATTTGTAAACACACCTCCATTTTAAACACGCCGCCATCGAAATTACGATTGTTGCCGAACCACGTCGGAAAGTTCATGACCTGATCTCGCGAGAGTTGAGGTTTCTACTTATAGAGGAAGCACATGCAGATATGTTTACGGTACGTTTTTGTTTACAAACATTGTTTGCGAAGTCTTGTCGTAGACTTGAGGTATTCCTGTGATAAATATTCAGTTTTTGGGAAATTATTAGAAGGAATAATTAGTTTAGAAACGATACGACGCACAAATATAACGTAAGAATTCAGAATTGGCCTGATGTATGATTGGAAAGAAAGGAAGCGACTGGTGAACGTCTGTACTGTGTCTGCCATGTTTACACACGCGGAATATGCGCATGCGCAATGTCATCGCTACAAGCGGTAATATATGAATTATTGTGGGTCCCACATTGTTTAATTTCCGATTTTTTCCATTTTTATTTAAATTGAAAACAGCCAGTTTTATTTTCTTTAATTAAAGGAAAGTATTTGTTTTGTTACATATATTACGGGGAAAATGATATAAGGTTTGTTTTTTTATTGTGATTTTTACGTATATTGGGGCTTTAAGTGAGGGAAGTGACCAGTGTGTTAGAGGTAGGGGGGTTGGTAAAGTATTGGGTAAGTGAGGGAAGTGACCAGTGTGTTTGAGGTAGGGGGTTGGTAAAGTATTGGGTAAGTGAGGGAAGTGACCAGTGTGTTTGAGGTAGGGGGTTGGTAAAGTATTGATTAAAGCCCCAATATACGTAACATTCACCAAAAATTTAGTGTAGAATCACACATAATTATTGAGATATTCTCTAAGATGTAGTTAAAATTAAGTTATTCAAACAATAGTTACCATGACTTTGTGCATAAGGTATTGATATATGAGCAGTTGAAACTCGCTATTTGTAAACACACCTCCATTTTAAACACGCCGCCATCGAAATTACGATTGTTGCCGAACCACGTCGGAAAGTTCATGACCTGATCTCGCGAGAGTTGAGGTTTCTACTTATAGAGGAAGCACATGCAGATATGTTTACGGTACGTTTTTGTTTACAAACATTGTTTGCGAAGTCTTGTCGTAGACTTGAGGTATTCCTGTGATAAATATTCAGTTTTTGGGAAATTATTAGAAGGAATAATTAGTTTAGAAACGATACGACGCACAAATATAACGTAAGAATTCAGAATTGGCCTGATGTATGATTGGAAAGAAAGGAAGCGACTGGTGAACGTCTGTACTGTGTCTGCCATGTTTACACACGCGGAATATGCGCATGCGCAATGTCATCGCTACAAGCGGTAATATATGAATTATTGTGGGTCCCACATTGTTTAATTTCCGATTTTTTCCATTTTTATTTAAATTGAAAACAGCCAGTTTTATTTTCTTTAATTAAAGGAAAGTATTTGTTTTGTTACATATATTACGGGGAAAATGATATAAGGTTTGTTTTTTTATTGTGATTTTTACGTATATTGGGGCTTTAAGTGAGGGGAGTGACCAGTGTGTTAGAGGTAGGGGGGTTGGTAAAGTATTGGGTAAGTGAGGGAAGTGACCAGTGTGTTAGAGGTAGGGGGTTGGTAAAGTATTGGGTAAGTGAGGAAAGTGACCAGTGTGTTAGAGGTAGGGGGGTTGGTAAAGTATTGGGTAAGTGAGGGAAGTGACCAGTGTGTTAGAGGTAGGGGGTTGGTAAAGTATTGATTAAGTGAGGAAAGTGACCAGTGTGTTAGAGGGTTGGTTAAGACGGATGACCGACCAGTGTGTTAAAGGTTTGGTTAAGACAGGTGAGTTGCCAGTGTGTTAGAGGTATGGTTAAGACAGGTGATATAGCTATAATTAGGTATTGGGGATCGGTAGGACATAGCTTACATGTTGACAGGGTAGGGTAAACTGTGATACTGGTTAAGAGGAGTGAGAAGGATAGGGTACTGGTTAACAGGAGTGAGAAACAAAGGGTACTGGTTAACAGGAGTGAGAAGGATAGGGTACTTGTTAACAGGAGTGAGAAGGATAGGGTACTTGTTAACAGGAGTGAGAAGGATAGGGTACTTGTTAACAGGAGTGAGAAGGATAGGGTATTTGTTAACAGGAGTGAGAAGGATAGGGTATTGGTTAACAGGAGTGAGAAGGATAGGCTACTGGTTAACAGGATTGAGAAGGATAGGGTACTGGTTAACAGGAGTGAGAAGAATAGGGTACTTGTTAACAGGAATGAGAAGGATAGGGTACTTGTTAACAGGATTGAGAAGGATAGGGTACTTGTTAACAGGAGTGAGAAGGATAGGGTACTGGTTAACAGGAGTGAGAAACAAAGGGTACTGGTTAACAGGAGTGAGAAGGATAGGATACTGGTTAACAGGAGTGAGAAGGATAGGATACTGGTTAACAGGAGTGAGAAGGATAGGGTATTTGTTAACAGGAGTGAGAAGGATAGGGTATTGGTTAACAGGAGTGAGAAGGATAGGCTACTGATTAACAGGAGTGAGAAGGATAGGGTACTGGTTAACAGGAGTGAGAAGAATAGGGTACTTGTTAACAGGATTGAAAAGGATAGGGTACTGGTTAACAGGAGTGAGAAGGATAGGGTACTGGTTAACAGGAGTGAGAAGGATAGGGTACTGGTTAACAGGAGTGAGAAGGATAGGGTACTGGTTAACAGGAGTGAGAAGGATAGGGTACTGGTTAACAGGAGTGAGAAGGATAGGGTACTGGTTAACAGGAGTGAGAAGGATAGGGTACTGGTTAACAGGAGTGAGAAGGATAGGGTACTTATTAACAGGAGTGAGAAACAAAGGGTACTGGTTAACAGGAGTGAGAAGGATAGGGTACTTGTTAACAGGAGTGAGAAACAAAGGGTACTGGTTAACAGGAGTGAGAAGGATAGGGTACTGGTTAACAGGAGTGAGAAGGATAGGATACTGGTTAACAGGAGTGAGAAGGATAGGGTACTTGTTAACAGGAATGAGAAGGATAGGGTACTTGTTAAAAGGAATGAGAAGGATAGGGTACTGGTTAACGGGAGTGAGAAGGATAGGGTACTGGTTAACAGGAGTGAGAAACAAAGGGTACTGGTTAACAGGAGTGAGAAGGATAGGGTACTTGTTAACAGGAGTGAGAAACAAAGGGTACTGGTTAACAGGAGTGAGAAGGATAGGGTACTGGTTAACAGGAGTGAGAAGGATAGGATACTGGTTAACAGGAGTGAGAAGGATAGGGTACTTGTTAACAGGAATGAGAAGGATAGGGTACTTGTTAAAAGGAATGAGAAGGATAGGGTACTGGTTAACAGGAGTGAGAAGGATAGGCTACTGGTTAACAGGAGTGAGAAGGATAGGGTACTTGTTAACAGGAATGAGAAGTATAGGTTACTGGTTAACAGGAGTGAGAAGGATAGGGTACTGGTAAACGGGAGTGAGAAGGATAGGGTACTTATTAATAGGAGTGAGAAGGATAGGGTACTTATTAACAGGAGTGAGAAACCAAGGGTACTGGTTAACAGGAGTGAGAAGGATAGGGTACTTGTTAACAGGAGTGAGAAACAAAGGGTACTGGTTAACAGGAGTGAGAAGGATAGGGTACTGGTTAACAGGAGTGAGAAGGATAGGATACTGGTTAACAGGAGTGAGAAGGATAGGGTACTTGTTAACAGGAGTGAGAAGGATAGGCTACTGGTGAACAGGAGTGAGAAGGATAGGGTACTTGTTAACAGGAATGAGAAGGATAGGGTACTTGTTAAAAGGAATGAGAAGGATAGGGTACTGGTTAACAGGAGTGAGAAGGATAGGCTACTGGTTAACAGGAGTGAGAAGGATAGGGTACTGGTTAACAGGAGTGAGAAGGATAGGCTACTGGTTAACAGGAGTGAGAAGGATAGGCTACTGATTAACAGGAGTGAGAAGGATAGGCTACTGGTTAACAGGAGTGAGAAGGATAGGCTACTGGTTAACAGGAGTGAGAAGGATAGGGTACTTGTTAACAGGAATGAGAAGTATAGGTTACTGGTTAACAGGAGTGAGAAGGATAGGGTACTGGTTAACGGGAGTGAGAAGGATATGGTACTTGTTAACAGGAGTGAGAAGGATAGGGTATTGGTTAACAGGAGTGAGAAGGATAGGCTACTGGTTAACAGGATTGAGAAGGATAGGGTACTGGTAAACGGGAGTGAGAAGGATAGGGTACTTATTAATAGGAGTGAGAAGGATAGGGTACTTATTAACAGGAGTGAGAAGGATAGGGTTTTGGTTAATAGGACTGAGAAGGATAGGCTACTGGTTAACAGGAGTGAGAAGGATAGGGTACTTGTTAACAGGAATGAGAAGGATAGGCTACTGGTTAACAGGAGTGAGAAGGATAGGGTACTGGTAAACGGGAGTGAGAAGGATAGGGTATTTGTTAAAAGGAATGAGAAGGATAGGCTACTGGTTAACAGGAGTGAGAAGGATAGGCTACTGGTTAACAGGATTGAGAAGGATAGGGTACTTGTTAACAGAAGTGAGAAGGATAGGTAACTGGTTAACAGGAATGAGAAGGATAGGGTACTGGTTAACAGTATTATGTCGGTAGGCAGTGGTTGACTTCGGTGAATATGTCGATAAGGATAGGTTTATTGCGGTAGATGAGAAACAATTATGAGTGTATTGGAGTTTTCCCCCTTCCCGTGCTTAATGTAAATGTATCTAAAATGTATTGGAATTTAAGATTAACTTTCACGTTGCCAAATGGGTGTGCATTTTTTTTCATCCATAAATACACATACCATTATATATCCCTTTCAATATGGTAAGTTCTTAAAACTACTTTCTTGGAAAATCGAGTTATTTCCCTTGGAACCATACGAAAACCTGACAACATTAATGTAAAAAATTAACGCCAACAGATGCTACCTGTTCCTGATTAAAACTTGAATAGGGGTAACAATATTCTAGCTGTCTTACATAATACCTCAGCCAGGCCTACGTATATCATAGAAACTTAACACCTTCAAATTCACACACACACAAAGCCAAATACTCCAGAAACATATAATGAGTTTAAAACTGTTATTTGCTATAAATGCATTTTTTCTCTCTTTTATTTTCTGACGAGCTCATAATACATTACTCTTCATCATTTGTACACTTTAATGGGTAATTAGCTGATAACTTCGTGTAGTTTACCCAGTTATTATCTGATATCTCTACATAAATTTTATCCTGCAGTCAGTATTGAGTAAATACCTGTATTTATGTAATTGATTCATGATTACATAATATAAAATAGTAACTATGGTAGCTAGTGCACTGATTTTTAAATACTCTTCCCTGCAACTTATCAATAATTATTTATATCATTTCTTCTTTGTTTGGTGAATACGGCTTAGAGAAGACGGTTACACGACGGTTACAACCAAAACAAGATTACAAATCTGATAATAACCCGGACGTTTTTCATACCAAGGGAGGCTACTCTCCTGTCTCTAACAGTCTAATGAGTAGTGGGCGTTACGTTATGAGAGAAAGGCGGGACTCAGGTGTTACAAAGTTAACTCATTCTATACCTGATCTCGTGAAACCAGTTTTAGTAGCATTTTACGACGTTTTGACATTAACATCCGGATTTTATTTCCCACCATAAATTACATCTCGGGTCATTGATTAGAATGTCCATGATTTGGTTTGTTTATCGGAAATCGAACCTTTTAATTAATTCTGTAGGATTTAATCATGTCATTATTTCTTTGGATTACAGCCTCTTCATCGACAGGTGACAGATTTATTTCTGTTCACGTCACGATTATACGTTTTACTAGAATCGTCTCCATTGGCAAGTTATAAAATTTGCAAGGTCGCCATTGTTATAAAAAGAGTGTCATTATTTAAATGAATGATAATGCGAGCAAGTCATATTTCGCGATAAAAAAAATGACACTTAACAAATGGAAATTGGAAATTAATAGATATTAAAATGCTATTAGTTCATTGCTGTTATACAGAGAGCTTAGAAAGTATTTATACTCGTATTCTGCTGTATTTGATAAAATCTTTACAGGATTGATAATTTCGTATTCAGGAATTTTTTTCTGTTTGAAAACCAAACTCTAAAATAAAATTTTATATGCTTTTGATATTTTGATGAATTAACCTGAGTGTTTTGCTATATTTAGCTATAAAATACAACATATTATACAATAATAAAAGACCAAGAAAGTGTGAACATCGAAGTAAAAAATACGAAACCGTGCGGAGATTTGAGAGTTAAATAGCATCCAGTTACTTGCTTAGCTTAATAATGACCAAGCGTTAACTTCTATTCCGAGCATTGTTGGGGAAGGTTGAAATAGGTTAACAGGCTGAAATATAAGGCATGGACAATTTTATACGTGTTTTTAGCGGCTATCAATCCGACTTTAATTTTATTAAGAACTTAAAAAACTAGGTTTTCAGGGTACGAAAAGTTCACGAACTAATGCAAATTTAATTGATAGAATACACACAATAGTTCGATTAATATTACAATAGAATTTCATGGTCATTTCCAACATTGTGTAAATAGATTTGATCGAATAAGAAAGCAATGTTGACTTTCCTTTGTCACGTCAACAATAGCAGCCACGTGTGTCGGACTGTGTGACGGGTAGAGGGGTTGGTTATACCCTCACTGTCAGAGGAGACTGGCCCCAGCCCCACAATAGTATGTTGATTCCAACCTTTGTATTATGTTTTAAAGATTTTGATAAGAAAGTTCATTCTGACGTGCTAATCAGATTTTGTTTTGTGTTTACAAACAAACGTCATGACGACTGCGTTGCTGTGCCGAATATGAAGACTTCTCCTTACAGGAAGTCACAGAGGTGATATTTACAATATAATACAAACAGAAGTTGTTTACATCTATCAGTCGTTGTCAGTCACATTTCCTTTTTATACCTGTGCTGCAGCAGCATTCAAGGTCGTATGACAAACAGTGTTAATTGTCTACAATTTGTAATTTACTTTTTTCTGTTATACCGGTTAATACTAAATAGCATTAGTAGTGAGACATCCTGTTAATACTAAATAGTATTAGTAGTGAGACACCGGTTAATACTAAATAGTATAAGTAGTGAGACACCGGTTAATACTAAATAGTATTAGTAGTGAGACACCGGTTAATACTAAATAGTATTAGTAGTGAGACATCCTGTTAATACTATATAGTATTAGTAGTGAGACATCCGGTTAATACTAAATAGTATTAGTAGTGAGACACCGGTTAATACTAAATAGCATTAGTAGTGAGACATCCGGTTAATACTAAATAGTATTAGTAGTGAGACATCCGGTTAATACTAAATAGCATTAGTAGTGAGACATCCGGTTAATACTAAATAGTATTAGTAGTGAGACATCCGGTTAATACTAAATAGCATTAGTAGTGAGACATCCGGTTAATACTAAATAGTATTAGTAGTGAGACATCCGGTTAATACTAAATAGCATTAGTAGTGAAACATCCGGTTAATACTAAATAGTATTAGGAGTGAGACATCCGGTCGATTTGGGTTTTTTTCTGTTATACTGGTTAATACTAAATAGCATTAGTAGTGAGACATCCGGTTAATACTAAATAGTATTAGTAGTGAGACACCGGTTAATACTAAATAGTATTAGTAGTGAGACATCCGGTTAATACTAAATAGCATTAGTAGTGAGACACCGGTTAATACTAAATAGCATTAGTAGTGAGACACCGGTTAATACTAACTAGTATTAGGAGTGAGACATCCGGTCGATTTGGATTTTTTTTCTGTTATACTTGTTAATACTAAATAGCATTAGTAGTGAGACACCGGTTAATACTAAATAGCATTAGTAGTGAGACATCCGGTTAATACTATATAGTATTAGTAGTGAGACACCGGTTAATACTAAATAGCATTAGTAGTGAGACATCCGGTTAATACTATATAGTATTAGTAGTGAGACACCGGTTAATACTAAATAGCATTAGTAGTGAGACACCGGTTAATACTAAATAGCATTAGTAGTGAGACATCCGGTTAATACTAAATAGTATTAGTAGTGAGACATCCGGTTAATACTAAATAGTATTAGTAGTGAGACATCCGGTTAATACTAACTAGTATTAGGAGTGAGACATCCGGTCGATTTGGATTTTTTTTCTGTTATACTTGTTAATACTAAATAGCATTAGTAGTGAGACATCCGGTTAATATTATATAGTATTAGTAGTGAGATATCCGGTTAATACTAAATAGCATTAGTAGTGAGACATCCGGTTAATATTATATAGTATTAGTAGTGAGACATCCGGTTAATACTAAATAGCATTAGTAGTGAGACACCGGTTAATACTAAATAGCATTAGTAGTGAGACATCCGGTTAATACTAAATAGTATTAGTAGTGAGACATCCGGTTAATACTAACTAGTATTAGGAGTGAGACATCCAGTCGATTTGGATTTTTTTTCTGTTATACTTGTTAATACTAAATAGCATTAGTAGTGAGACACCGGTTAATACTAAATAGCATAAGTAGTGAGACACCGGTTAATACTAAATAGCATAAGTAGTGAGACACCGGTTAATACTAAATAGCATAAGTAGTGAGACACCGGTTAATACTAAATAGCATAAGTAGTGAGACACCGGTTAATACTAAATAGCATTAGTAGTGAGACACCGGTTAATACTAAATAGCATTAGTAGTGAGACACCGGTTAATACTAAATAGCATTAGTAGTGAGACACCGGTTAATACTAAATAGTTTTAGTAGTGAGACATCCGGTTAATACTAAATAGCATTAGTAGTGAGACACCGGTTAATACTAAATAGTATTAGTAGTGAGACATCCGGTTAATACTAAATAGCATTAGTAGTGAGACACCGGTTAATACTAAATAGTATTAGTAGTGAGACATCCGGTTAATACTAAATAGTATTAGGAGTGAGACATCCGGTCGATTTGGGTTTTTTTTCTGTTATACTGGTTAATACTAAATAGCATTAGTAGTGAGACACCGGTTAATACTATATAGTATTAGTAGTGAGACATCCGGTTAATACTAAATAGCATTAATAGTGAGACACCGGTTAATACTAAATAGCATTAGTAGTGAGACATCCGGTTAATACTAAATAGTATTAGTAGTGAGACACCGGTTAATACTAAATAGCATAAGTAGTGAGACACCGGTTAATACTAAATAGCATTAGTAGTGAGACATCCGGTCCGTCTGGAATCAACTGAATCTCTAATGAAATATAAAGATAACATATTATGCGTAGTCATAACAATAGTATTGTGATAGGAAGGAGTGATCATCAAAACACTTTCCCGCCGCTGGGGATCGAACTAGCGACATTCTACTACTTGACTAAAGGAAAATTCCCATTGAGGCTTCTACAGTATAGAGTCCATACGAAGGGTTGGTATATTTGGTTGGTTGGTTGGTTGGTATATTTGGTTGGTTGGTTGGTTGGTATATTTGGTTGGTTGGTTGGTATATTTGGTTGGTTGGTTGGTT